GGGGGGGGGGGGGGAGAGAATGGGACAGTGTGGAATGAATTCTAGGGTTGATTAATGTTATTTTAATTGGGATGAAAATTATATAATTAATATTAAATTAAATATAAAAAACCTGATTTTTGAAATGTTAAATTTGTGAGCTGATTTGTGAAAATGGTATTTTAAATGCCTGACTGGCTGTAATTTCCTCTTTTACAATTCTTTCGATACTTTTCCATGATGCTGACTTGAGTCTATAATCTTTGTTTGGTAAAATTTATAAATTATTTATAAAATGTTGATCAGAACGAATAAAGCCACCTAGATGGATTTGCTTTTTATAATTTAATTATGAATATAAAATAATCCTATTTGTAGACATCGATGAACATCAAACTATGTAGCAATATTTACGAATAACATTACTCTTGTGGTTTTTTCATTTTTCTCTAAACATCAGAACTCTTTCATTTTCTGGTATTTTAAACAGGTTTTCTTGAATTAGCTCAACCAATCGAATTCCAAGCATGTGTCCCACACATGTACCTCCATTATTGAGATCTCTCTCTCCATCTCTTCACTGTTCTGCACTACACTCTTCTCAGTGGGCCTTCAAACCCTTTCTCATCATATCATCGTCATATTACTAACCTATCACAAGTCTCAATTGCATTCCAAAATCTTTAGGTAAAGACTAATAATCATCCCATTGTTTTTTCAATTTTTTCTACATAATCTAAACACAATTATTATTCAATGATAATGTAGCTATTTTTTTTCTTTTTTATTTGTCTTTCTTCGTGAACCCACAAAATATTTTGTAAAAGTTTTCTTTTCCTGTGTTTTGGCTTTCGCAAAAAGCTACCCAGTCACAAAGATTGCAACTTTTGAATCTTTTCTCACTCCAAAAAAATGGATTTTCTGCTGAAAAAGATGAAAAATATTCTAAAGCCCTTTTGTACTTTACTCATCCGAGGATTGATTGTATGAAACCTTAACTTGATTCTTTATTTTCTTTTCTTTTTTCTTTTTTGTGAAAAAAATTCTTCCCGTTCAATGCATTTGTTTTTGTGTTGATGGTTATCTTTTAGGACTTTCAGAATAACCAGAACCAGAACCAGACAAGCACTTTTGTTAACTGTAAAAAAAAAAAGTGATTTTATGGATAATTTTTTGGTAAGAAACGACCACATCACATGGGCTTGTTTTAATTGGCTGCGTTTCTCCTCCTTTTTGTCTTCATCAAGATCTCTAGTTTATCCGTTTGTAGTCCAGCATATTGATAATTTGCCCATTCTTGTCTCAGCGTATGGTAGCTTTCTGATTAATCATCATTGAATTGAAGAATCATTGGGTGAATCTGGAGTAGAAACACCATTTGCAGAGAACAAGGTACACCATTTGTCCTTTGAATAGTTTTGAGTGGCCCATATGATTAATCTTTTGTTTCCAATTATTGTTTCTTTATATGTTCTGTTTGTTATGGATTCTTGATGTATTTTCTTATTCACAAATGCAAAATTCATGTTCTTGACCTCTTGTTGTGAGTTGTAAATCTGTCCCTTAGTTGAATTTTGGATCTTGAATTATTTGAGCAGATGGACGAGTCAGTTAAATCTGGTTCTGGACTGGAAGTGTCAGTTTCATTTGGTAGGTTTGAGAATGATTCACTTTCTTGGGAGAAATGGTCATCTTTTTCACCCAATAAGTATTTGGAGGAAGTTGAAAATATTTCAACACCAGGATCAGTAGCTCAAAAAAAGGCCTATTTTGAAGCACACTACAAAAGGATAGCTGCTCAGAAAGCCGAGAGCTTGGAGGAGGAAAATCCAATGGAACCTTTTAGTCAAAGCCCTGACGAGTCAATCAGTGAGGATCACACTGAAAACTCAACTGGTATAGATACAGAGTCGAGTGTATGCAATGGTGAGAAATCTGGTGAAGTAGTTGATTATGTAATTACTTTTGATGAGGCAAGAGATGATGATGTTGGATCAATGGAAGAAATTGAGCCCAAAACCTATACAACTGATTTGACGAGGATAACCACTTCTGAAGTGGCAAAAGAGGATGTAGCTGTGGCTGTAGAGGGTGGAAACTCGGGAGTCCAGGAGGATAAAGAGTTAAAGATTAATGCAGATAACATTGGATTGAATGATAGAGAGGAACCCGTCTTGGTTAAGGAAGTGATCCCTCAAAAGGATTCTAAGGATAGCGCAGAACAGCCACCAGAAAGGAAAGGCGGTGCAGAAAAAACCAGTGTAATGAAAAAGGAAAATCCCAAGTTGAACGCACGAAATCAAGCTCAAAAGGTAAAGTATTGGAACTTATTGGGCATTTCTATTTAATTGTTTCGATTGATCTGGTGTTTAATTTATTTGTTTTCGGTGTTTAGGTGACTACTACTAAAATGGGTAGAAATTTGGCTGGGACAAAAAATATTGTATCATCTGCAGCCAAGTCGCCACAAGTTTCTGCTCCTAGACTATCAAAACCGACGTCAATTTCCACGCCTATATCTGCCTTCCGTCCTTTGAAAAAGAAGGTCCATGAGACGCCACTTCCAAAAAGCAGGAATACTCTAGTTGGAGAAAGCAAGAGAGCAACTCCTACGTCCTTGCACACGTCTCTCAGTTTGGGGCCAGCAAATTCTTCTGCAACTTTTCCTACAACTAGAAAGTCTTTCATAATGGAGAAGATGGGGGATAAGGACATTGTTAAACGAGCATTCAAGACATTTCAGAACCATATCAATGAATTAAGGACTCCAAGTAATGCGGAATTTTGTACACCGAAGCAGGTATGCCATTCTATAAATTCCTCCCCCCTTTTGTACAATGAGTTTTGAGATTTCTACTATTAGTTTTAGTACCTTTTCATTAGTTGGTTGGATATTTGGTTTTAACATATTTGGGCAGGTGTCGTCCATGGCATCTGAGCAGAAGGATTCCTCTTCTTTCACCCCCCGAAAGGAGAATGAAGGGTAATAATACATGTCCTCACATATCTGCTATTAAATGCAATTAAGACATGAATATGAAACTTATCGATTACTAGATTCAGAGATAAGAGGGGAAAGAGCAAGCCAGGTCTTAAGTTGCATATTGTTGTTTACATATAGTAATGTGTTATCTTCGGTTTTTCTACATATTGTAATCTGTAATGAAAAGTACAGCTCCTTGCATTTAGTTTCACTGCCCATGTTGCCCTGTACGAATAGTACAGCCCTTCACTTAATAGTATTACTAAGTAACTGGTCGATGGATACAGCTATGATTTATTGTTTCACTTATAATTTGGTCTTAAAATTCGAACTTTCTACAACGTGAGGAGATAATAATTATGGTTTTGTAGTCCTAAATCCTTCTTGCTATTTATTATATAACAATATAGAAAAATTTCTTGATAGAAACAAGGAAAAACATTTTTATTATTGTGTAATTGTGATTTGTTATGCAAGGACAAAATTTCCTCTTAAAATTCTGAGAAGCATCCATCTTTTAGAAGGAAATTCTGAACCTAAATGCACATTGCTGGTACACTTGCACTTCTATGAAATTTAACTGTGGACGTGGAATGTAAATGTGAACCGTTTTGTTTCTCCCCACCCATTAGTTTACTAATCTCCCCTTCGACTATGATTACTGATTACTCATTTGAATTGTAGACTAAGGAAGTCTACAGAAAAGACACTTACTCAAAGGGCTCGATCAGGCACTAGATCAAAGACAATGACTGAGTCCTCAGGGTGAGTTTTTAATGATGGTTATATGTAAATCTCTTTTTATCATGCTTTTCTATCCTTTTTTTATTGTTTTTATCTCCGTTCTGATTTGGAAAGCCTGTAATATTGTGCTTCTTGTTCTTTCTATTGTCTTCTTGAGGTTGAATTGTGATTGATAATCATGAACTACAGATTGATTAATCTTTTTCTAAAATTTACGTAACTTATTGTTGTTTTCCAAAAGGAAAAGTGTTTAAATTGGCAACATGGTTGATTGATGGTTAAGTTCGTACTAACTTGAAACCGGGTTTTATAATAATCATTTATGCAAAATGGAGCCAAAACAGAATGAAGTGCTATCGCACTTTATAATATTGACATGGAGAGTACAAGTATAGAGATATCTTCCTAATAATTGCCACTAGTATTCCTATATGTTGCAGCTTGTGCTAGTGGAAATAACCAAATATAATGCGCCTTTACACTGACAAAGGTGTCTTTTCTTAATTACTCTTTGATTACTATTTCTAGCCGTTTCTCATAGTAAATTTTTATTTCATGAAAATTTTTCATGCTTCTAAGTTGTGAAATTAAGAAGAAAAATGAGAAAGGCTCATCTTTATTTCTCTTTATTTTCTCAGTTTATCTTTTGAGGTTTTCTTTTTATGATTTTTTTCGATTCATTATGAACTTTTCAAGTCTATAATAGGTTGAATAAAGGTTCTGGTCTTGATAGGAAAAATGCAATAACCGTTACACATTCTATTGGCTTGAGAAGTGATGAAAGAGCTGAAAAGAGGAAAGAGGTAAATCCATTAAATCTTACCTTCTATTTTAGCTTTTGCACAGAATAATGGTTATTTTGAATGTGTAGATCTATTATCCAGTAGGCACATTTACATAACTAATGATTAAGTTGAAACAGTTTATAAAGAATTTGGAAGCAAAATCAATTGCCAGAGGGGCTGAAGATGCGCAACGTAGTGTGAAAACAAAGGTATCTTCTATTTGGGTGAAAAAAGAGACTCCATATATGCATTTAACCTCTAAATAATTGATGGTGAAGCATGATCTAACAAGGCAAGCTTGATCCAGGAGGGAAAGGCATCTGAGACAATAAAACTGAAACATAATCTCAACTTCAAGGCTACACCTATGCCGGCTTTTTATCGGGGTCAAGGGAAAGGTCATTCCAGAAAGGTACACAATCAATCTCTCTCTCTCTCTCTCACACACACACACGCACACAAACACATAAGGACAATGTGTCTAGAAAGGAAGTTTTCTCCACCCACTAGACATGGTCAACATCTTCAATTAATTCACAAACTTTTTATCAAACCCCGTAATTACATAAATACAAATTATTTTTTATCTTACTCCAACATGTTATTAACCCACACGTATATTTAAATATTCCGAGGGAAAAGTAGAAAATAGAAAATAAGGCGATAGAAAAAACGGGAGGAGAAGTATTGGTATGAGGTCATTATTAGAAATGATTGATTTAGATACTTCATTGGGTTGGTTGTATAATAAATTATACACGGAATTAACCTATCAACTAAGACACGTTGACTTTCGCAATTTACCAGAAACATTCCATGTCTTTATCCTGTAGTTGGTGGTACTTGGAAATTTTTGGCCATTACTAAAAAAATTTATCCTTCCGTTCATTTTCTGTGATTGAAAAATTCTTGATTGCTTTTTAAAGTTAGAAATTAGCAGGAATTTGATAGAATTATCCATTTAAAGCAGCGGATTAAGCTACTGTAGATGTGTTGACGAGAATTTTTCTAATGACCTGAACCTATTGTTGGTTATCATGTGAAAGTCATATGTAAATCTCTGTTCAGCGTTTTTTTAGTATTGATGGCAAAATAAAAATAATGGCCGTCAAACAGGGCTTAATTTCACATGAGAAGACTGCATATATGTCTCTGTGCTGTTGTGTTATAGATGGGCTAAGTTTGCTTACATTAGCCCGAATTCACAGTGAGTGGAAGAAGATTTTTTAATACTTTGTAGTTTGAATTGATCCTTTGTGTTGATCCTTTGAGCTCTTTCTCGAAGGATGTTCTGGTTTATAGTTCTGGAGAACATAACACATACAACATATGGAGTCTTAATTTATTTTTCTTCTTCAATTTTGTTTGGTAGCATCTAGTTCAGTACATGAAACATGCCACTGTTTGTCGGTTAATGGCACATGACCATTTATTCCTGTTTGTTGCACAATTCATTTCCATTCTTCTTCACTATTAATAGGTGTCAATGACCACAAAACTATAAGTTCCAAAATTAAGTGGCCACTTTCTTTAAATAATACCAAAGGAGGATCAATCTTAATTCAGCCATTTCTGATATTCCCATGAAAAAGGGACATCAAGTTTTATTTGTTCAAAAAATTTATAATTAAAAGCAAGCTGTGAGGTGGATATCTAGGTTCTTGGTTAATTTTTCAGGAAAAATGTTTTCAAGAGGAAGTACATCATCAACGGGAACATTAATCTATGATTTACATAAAAGTTACTACACACAAAAATCGTTTGTTCATGTAAGAGAGAACGGCCAAATGCGACAGAATCTGTCAATACGGAGGAATTGTGCTAATTTTCGAAAGGTGGGGATGAATTGTGCCAAACCAAAAAAAAAGAAGATAGAAGCATGTCTGCTAATTTTCTCAAAGGTGGGGAACGAAAAGTGTAATTTACTCTTTTTATTAATTTAACTGGATGGTGATGGTTTTGATAGGTTAATGTATGTAACATTTTCTTGCTCATCTATATTATTCAATCCTAGTTTGTTTGCAAAATATTAGGGCATCTCAACCTCTTTTGTCCCGTGTTAACCATCTTATTTAAAAGCTGTTAGAGAAGGGGTGGGACACATGTATCTAGATGTTTTTTTCATCACGTCATGTAGTTTAGATTCTTAAATGTCTGACACCTAACAATTTTTCATAAATGGCCAACGGTAGGACTTGAACCTAGATCCTGTGCATGTCTCTTTGAGCACAGATCTGAGCTGATGGTTTCATGATGATTATGAAATGACATTAATTACTCAGATTTACAGTGATATACATGACGAAATTTATCATTACTGCAGATTATATTTTCAATATTGTTAAAACAGCTTTATGAGAATATTTCATGTTCTGACTTTTACAGTCAAAATTGATATGAGATTCTACACTGTTAAACAGTAAAGTAATATGAATTCAATTCCAAGTTAATCATCTGACTTTAAGGTTAGGTTGTTAGATAGGGGTCTCGTTTATTTACTTAAATGTTGTCTTCAGCGCCCAGGCTCAGTGGTTAAGTTTTGTCGCTGTTCGTTGGTATTTTTATTCTCTTTCGGCTTCTGTCACTCCTGATTTCACGGGTTTGTTTTTCTTTTCCAAATGAAATTGCAGGAAGGCTCAGACAGTAAGATCCATCCTCGACCCACATGTAGTAGGTGATAGATTGTTTCTCCCTGTTCCATGAGGACAAATACATTTTTCGTCGTGGAACATTGATGTCATACAGTCCTTGGAGTATATATGCCAATGGGAGAGTTGTGCATGCTGCATATGACAAGAACTAGCTTCTCCACCAGCAGCAAGGTTGGCAAATGAGATTTGAGGGATTTTGTCAGTAGCTGTGATAGAAATTCATATTAATCTCATGGAGGAGATGAAAAGAGCTGCGTTTAAATAGTTTAGAAGAACTTGTATAGACAAAAGGTTCATATATTTATGTAAGAGCAGACAGATAGTTTTCTAATAGCAGGGACGCAGTAGCCAGTAAGAGGAAATCGGACACTATACCCATTTTGAAAATTGTTTGCGTAGGAAAATTGGAAATTGTGTACACGATTTGACCATTTCAAATGGATATTGTATTGTGTTGTATGCGTCGAATATTTCTATTTATTGTCTTGAAAATGAAGTTTTGTAAGTGGTACAATGTTTATCCTCCATGTAACATGCACTATTTTTACCTGGATCAGTCTTTTTGTTACCCTGCTATGGAAAGGAGCAATACACATTTGCCTTCACTAATATGTTGAAGGAAGAAACAGAAGAAATCATTGTGCCAGCAAAAAAATAACTCATTTTCATAAATTGATAATACATTTGAAATGAATTTCTTACAGAAAAATCAAATAACCAAGGCATTTATGGTGTCAATTTTATCCGTGTACAGGACTCTGTGTGTGTGGGCAATGATTAGCTTACTTCAGATGCAACTGCGCCAGTTTTAGTCCATTTGTTGATTCGAGACCCAAGAATCGTGTTCGGTTATTCATTATCTGAGTCACTCGAACTGCTCTTCGAATGGTCCGACAGGAAATTGGCCGGCAATTTCGGGAATCTAAATATCCTAGGTGATTCTGGGGTCGATGATGATCCGGCTGAAGATGGTGCAGGTTTTTTCTTCTGAACATTTGTTGCAATATCAACACAAACTTGATCAACCATTCCCAGGAAATCTCGAACAATGACAAATAATTGAAGTGGATTTCTCCCTTTGTCATTTGAGGACCCTGACTGATAATAATCTGTTGTTTTCTTCACAAGTTCCATCACTCTTGTTTGCTCTTTCTTCACTGCTTCTATTTCTTCTTCAGCCCCCTCTATAAAAAAAATCATTTTCTTTGCAGATCCTGTGTGATGATCACATTGCGCCACTATTTTTCGAATTTCGATCAGTTGTGATGATAACCCCGAGCTTGTTTTAACGATGAAATCGTAGTCTATTGTGGCTGCTTTCTTCACATTTGAAAACTCGGCGCTTAGACCTCCTATCACAGGCAATCCCAGCATCATGTATTCCTTTTCTCTATCAGCCTGTGGTACCAAATTATCTGAACTTTGGTTTACAGGATTTGAGTTTTGGCTATTTGTTCGACTCATGCTGCGATTTCTGTTAAGCACGCAGCGTTTTCCCTCAGCCCGTACTACTTCTTGGACGACGAATTGAAGCAAAGTTGTTGCTCCATCGCTGCTTTTGACATCGGATAGTTTTCTAAGAGCTGTAAGGTTGAATGCTTGAGCATTTCCTCTTGACGTCCCTGCATTCAAGCGATTCCCTGCCTTAAGCACTGCTTCCAAAAGTTTCAAGAAGAGCCCTCGATTTCTAAGCTCATAGCAAGCTGATTCGAGTGATTTCAACAATTCCTTGAGGGTCGTAATCTCTGTGTAGTAGTTTGATCTGAAAAGCATGGCGTTGATATGAGTAAAGGCAGATGGAAAAGCTTTGAGGAGGTGGTAGAGGAAGGATTCTGCATCAGCAAGTCTTGTTGGATCTCCATCAAACGCGAGGATTTTAGACCTTTCTTCATCCGTTGGAGAGATTTTCGTGAGCTTTTCAAGCGTATCTGCATTTAGGCCATCACCTTTAACAAGGGCATCGGCGATTTCTTTGTGCGAAACGCCAAGTGATTTGAGTACAATTGCGGTGTTTTGGGACTTTCTGGTGTCTAGAATGAAAATCCGGGAGGCTGGACCGGATCTATCCCCTCTTGGGCTTGTTGAATTACTGTCTTGTCGAGGAGATTTTCGGTTGGTGGCCACATATCCAAAGAGAGCTTCCATAAGATCTCCGTCAAACCTGAATTCAAATCAGCAGAAAAGTTGAGAAAAATTGGATAAGAAGAGAGACTTTTTTTTACATAAAAGTAGTCGAGGATCATTACTTGAAAGAGCCTTGATCAATTTTGTCCCAGACCATGGAATGCTCCACATTTGGATTCACCTTATCCCAGTGCAAGGGCTTCAGTTTCACCTTTCCATTCTCATTGCTCGACGTGCCTTCTCCCAACGAGGAAGAACGCTGATTGCCACTAGACATTCCCTTCGGTGCCGGGGGTTTCAATGATGAAACTACTCCACTTGCTTTAGGTGGTGGCGGTAGTGGGGGAGAAGGACCTAAATTTGATGGAACCGGAGGAGGCGGCGGTGGTGGAGAAGGAATTGTATTTGATGGAACAGGAGGCGGAGGTGGTGGTGGTAGTGCAGCCTTTTCTGCCTTCGGAACTGCCTCAATATTTGTTGGCGGCAGCCGAGGTGCTGGCGGTGCTGAATGTTTCACAACTTGGCTTAATGAATTTTGCTTTTCCACAGCCATTCCAGATGAAAGTGTAGGTACTTTCTTTATTCTTGAATCCTCCTTATCAATCCAAACAGCACTCTGAGAGGTTGAAGATTTTCCTCTGAGCAAAGGAGTTTCATGAATAGGTGATTCATATTTCTTATTTCTATCATCTCCACTGATGATTCTTTTTTCTTCTTCATTTTCTTGATCATATTTCAAGTTCTGATAGACTTCTTTTTTGAAACTTCTTTTCTTTTCTCCCCCTTCTAAATTTCTCCAGTAAAGCACATCCAATCCATTCTCATCAACAATCACCCCCTTCAAATTACCATCAAACGGCGTAAAATCATTTCGAGGCTGAGGCACTACAGGATTCTCAGCATAGAGATTGACTTCAGTTCTCTCCCTCTTTCGACGCGATCGCCTTAGGAGTAAGAAGAAAAGAAGCCCGGATAAAACAAGAGTACCAGCAGCAGTGGCAGCCACTGCTTTTGCAACTGCCTTTTTGGATGATGATTTTCCTGGCGGGGCATCTGGTTGCAATGGAAGTGGATTTGGTATTGGTGGAGGACTAATAGGCTGATCATCAGCCGGACGAGGAGGTGGAGGAGGAGAATATGGATATCGAGTTTCGATGTTTTGAGGAGAACTGGATTGACAAGTGGATTGAGGAATGGAAGAAATGATGAATATAAAGAATAGACAGAGAATTGCAGATGGCTGGAATTTTGCAGCCATGATGATATTTAGGAAAGAATTGAGGAGAATTTGATGTTGAATCAATTTTTGAATGTATTTTTATCATTTCTTGATGCGCTTCTTGATAATGCTATTTTGGATTTGGTCTAGTTGCTGAAAGTTTCTAATGAGAGCAGTTGGCTTTTTGTTGGATAATTTGGAATATTTAAACCCCCTGCCGGTTATAGAACATAAAATGACCAAAATACCCTAAGACGATCAAATTATAGTTGTGATAATTATCCTTGACGTGTAGGTTAATCGATTTTTAATTCTTTAAATAATGGTGATATTCCATTACCCTTTCCATGATTCCAAATCGAAAATATTGAATTGGTCTGCAGTACATCTTGTGTACTTGTACAATCTTAACGCTAATCATCTCGATTATTATAATCTAAACACGGAATTATATTAAGGACAGCCCTGCATGTACAGAATAAAGTGCTGTCAGATTATTTACATATACAGTCGACAGTTTTTCATTTGACAAAAGCGAAAAAAAAAAGAAAAAAGGTAACCAGCACCTGTAAAATATCTGGCAGGAATTTTTTTTCCTTACCGGATGTTGCTAGGAAAATGATGTCTTGCAAGTAAGAGTAAAAGAAAGTCTGAAGAAAGAATGCATACAAAACAAAAAAGAATCATAAATTCAGCAATGTTGCTAAGAAAATGATGTCTTTCAAGTAAGAGTAAAAGAAAGTCTGAAGAAAGAATGCATACAAAACAAAAAAGAATCATAAATTCATTTGCCTTGGTTTGTATTCTACAAGGAACAGGACAATTTTTTGTATGATTATGCAGTTATTCACCACAAAACAAAATTTAATTATCAGATAAAATATTTTCAAAAAATTATTCAAACATATTCAACAGTAACTTTTCAAAAATTACGTCAAAAAAACCCTTAAAAAAAGATGGGGAATAAATGTCTTATAATAGGTTCACCAAATATTTGACAATCTATGAGTAAAAGCAAAGTATTTTATTTGCAGTTGTCATTAAGAATTTTTTAAATGACAATCTTTCATGATATTGGTGTAAATTTAAAATAATATATTTAGAAAGAAGGTGTTGTTGCAATTGAAAAAATTATTTTATTAGAAAATCCCAGTAGATGAGTAATGTGGGAAAAAAATAATTTGTGTAGCCAATACTAAAACTATCAAAATAAAACTTAATTTATTATGTAGAATGTTATAGAATGAAAATCAAAGTAATAGTGTACAAGAAAAATAATGAACTAAGTTGTGTCTTCGATAAATTTGAAATTATCTAAACGAATTATTTTTTTATTAATTCTACCTATCCATTTGATAGTTACACGGGAAGATACAATGAAATCATTTTTTCTTAAACTCATTTTCGCTCATTCATTCATCCAATGAAATAATTTTATTCGTGGATTCATAATTTTTCATACTTTTAATCTCTTCAAATAATCTCTTTCACACAAACATTTAGAATTAGATTTATGTCGGTCTGTGGGGGTGGTTGAAAAATGTCAACTGTTAACGACTTAATAATTTTATCCAATATAAATGTGAACAATACAAGGTGGTTGTAAAGAAATTCATAGTGCTAATTGGAATCTTAAAAAGTCAAATCCAAAAAAAAAATCTCTCTTATTTTTCAATTTGGTAATTATTAATAGATTGGGATTTTTCCACTTTTTCTTGCAAAGTGTCAAACTTGCATTGATGTTGATAACTCAATGGTTTGGGTGCTTGTGTGTTAAGACATTGACTTTGTAAGTTAAAATATTTCATTCAAAACATGAGTGCCTCTGTTTGTGACATCAATAATGATGCTAGATATACATTCTTGATTAATATTAAGAATGACACTCTCTTACGTGGATAAATTTTATTAGTGAGTTGATGGAGTGTATTTAGAATTAAAGACCATAATTGTTGTCACCCCCTTGAATGTCAAATTTGATGTCAAAGAAAATGTACGTGTAGCATTGATGTGGTCAATTATAAAGTTGCTTATGAGCTTGACAATGCTTCTGAAGAAAGCAATAGATAAAGTTCGTATTACAATCGACTTATGTTAGTCACTCATCTTCTTATACTAGTATTTATAAACAAAACATTGCAGAGAAATTGAGTTCAAGGGCCAGGATTAGGTTGATCCAATTACTAATTTTGAACTTGATTGGATTCTACATGTTTCTTTTTACTTTATGTAAAGTTCAGCCTCCTACAGTCCTTGATGAACCATAAAATTGCAACCCGCGTTCCCACGGAATTTAGCCTTCAAAAAGAGTGGTTTAGGGTTAGGAAGATTCTGGAATTCTTGCAAAAAGCCTTTACCACGTTTTTTAGCTATAGTCTCCCATTGAAGGCAATTCTATCCCACCAAAGCGTTCTGTCTGTGCTATTTTTTCCACCCGCTGCCTGAACTGATCGGCCATGACTTTGGGATTAAGGCCCCCGTTAAATTGTCTAGTCAACATGCCCGTTTTAATTTTCTAGGTGAGTACTTAAAAAATGAAGTATGAGTAAAGTTGAACAACAATAAATTTAATATTGTTATCAATAAATTTAAGGATAATTACATAAACATTTTAAAAATATGCTAAACTATTCGTTTTTCAATTTTGAACCGACATTTACTCACAAGGAAGCACGAAGATTCTAGCCTCACATTTTCTAAATAGGTGGTCTGATCTTCTAATATGTGACCCGTATTAGACCTGTTATTCCTCTCATAAAGAGGCTTCAGATCATTTGCCGATGTGGCAACAACTCAACAAATCGACAAGGCCCGCACTCCACATCACACCTACCACGTCACCCCGACGCATCGAAGTGCTGAGGTAAAGCGACTTCTTACACATGTTCACCTTCTACCGAAGCGTCGAGGAGAACTAGGTCCAAGCAAGAAACGGCAAAGTGTCATGAGTGGGGACAACTTCTATAGCTAGGATAGTTACAACGCCTCGTCCCAATTAACCAAAGATCTTTTATACAAAGATCTATCTAAAATAAAATCTGTTTGACTGATTGATATGACATTTGGGCAGTAGACGTCAAGAGTCAAGTCATGAATCTATTTGTCAGAAAGTATCAAATATTCGCATACTTACGAATTGATTGATTAATGTCTAAGAAGAGACACTTTAGCCAATAAATGAGGTCATGTGCCTCATTATCTAACGGCCCATAATTCACATATTCCCATGTATATATGTACTCAAACTCTGTGCCATTAGTAAGTTAATGCAACTCCAACCATGAGTTATATAATTTCACTCCTCATATCAATGTGATATTAATTTTTCGACGGTTCCCATTACCGGAATTCTCCTCACTTTTCATATCATCTTACCAACTTAACTGTCGAAGTACTCGCAACCGCTTCTACCACCATCGAAATCGACTACAAGTGACTAACAATGTGTTCTAAGTGTTACAGAAAGGAACTTACGTGAAGCTGAAAGCTGTTAACTACATAGGAATTACATTTTCCAGGGTCAACAGATTGGAGGACTTATGCTTGCATTCAAAATGCACAATTAGTGAAAGTTTACCTCCAACTCCAATCATATGCTGAAAGTCCATCCATTATATAAATATTCATACATGAACTTGAGGGAATATTATTACGCTTGTAATAACGAAGCTCCAGATCATCAACCAACATGGCAGCAGCTCAACAAATTAACAAGGCTCACACTCCACATCACACCCATCACTTCACCTCATGCACTGTTGCATCGAAATGTCGAGGTAAAGTGACTGGCTTACACATGTCCACACTAGACCGAAGTGTCGAGGTGACCCAAGTCTAAGTGAGAAATGGCAAAGTGACATGAGTGGAGGCAACGTTTGCAGCTAAGATAGTTACAACGCTTTATCCCAATTAACCAAGAGATCATTTATACAAAGATCTATTTAAAATAATATCTTTGTAGCTAATTGATGTGACATTTGTGCAGAAGATGTCAAAGAGTCCAAGTCATGAATCTATTTGTCAGAAAACATTAAATCCCACCCATATACGAATGGATTGAATGGTGTCTAGGAAAAGACATTCTGACCAGTAGGTGATGTCATGTGCCTCATCATCTAACAACCTATAATTTACCTATTTCCCTATATATACTCACACTTTGTGCCATTATTAAGGTAATACAACTCCAACTATTTTTTATATAATTTTACTTCCCTTATCAACGTGATATTAGTTTTTCAACGGTTCCCATTACCAAATTTCCCTCATTTTTCGTATTATCTGACTGACTTGATCGTCAAGTACTTGCAATCACTTTTACCACCACTGAAATTAGACACGAGTAACTAACAATGTGTTCTAAGTACGCAGGAAGGAACTTACTTGGAGCTGCAAATTGTTAGCTACATAGGAGGTATATTTTTCGGGGTCAACAGATTTGGGGACTTGCACTTGCATTCAAAATGCACAATTAGCAAAAGTTTATCTCCAACTCTAGCCTCATGATGAAAGTCCACGTATTATATGAATATGCATACATAGACTTGAGGGACTATTATTATGCCTCTCATAAAAAGGCTCCAGATCATATGTCAATGTGGGAACAGCTCGGCAAATCAATAAGACCCACATTCCACATCACACCCACCATGTTACGCCCAACACCGGCACCAAAGTGTCAAAGTAAATCAACTGGCTTGCACACTTCAGCCCTCGAACGAAGTGTCGAGGAGAACCAAGTCTAAGCGAGAAACGTCGAAGTGTCATGAGTGGGGATAACTTCTACAGCTAGGATAGTTACAACGCTTCGTCCCAGTTAATATGACATTTGGGCAGCAGAAGTCAAAGAGTCAAGTCATGAATCTATTTGTGAGAAAGCATTAAATATTCGCATACTTACGAATTGATTGATTAACGTTTAGGAAGAGACACTTCGACCAGTAAATGAGGTCACGTGCCTCATTATCTAATGGCCAATAATTCAACCTATTCCCTTGTATATATACTCAAACTCTGTGCCATTAGTAAGGTAATGCAAC